AAATTTGACCACCGCGCTTTAATTATCAGACTTATTTTGCAAGTAATTACGAAACGGACAATCTTGATAAAAGCGCGTTTTGTTCCTGTCGCGCAGCAGCAATGACTCATAATTTTGAAACCGTGATTAAGAAACGTGACAATAATTGAATATGGAAACGTCATATGGCTATAAAATAACTGTGACGTCACCGGTTGTTTGTAGTTTGCAAACTTTCATGTCGTCTCATATTTGTTTGTCATTGGAGACAACTTTTTCTTCATTATACGTTTAATATTTAATTAATAACACCAATGAGTTCAAATAATTAATTCAGTTCGTGATCTAGATTATTATTAGAAATTATTAATTGCAGAGGGCAAAACATGATTTTAAATATTACACATTGGATTATTAGATTCATTAAAATTACATATGCCGAGAATTAACTTAAAGCGCGGTGTATACACCATTATTTGAACGAAACCGACAACGCATGTCCATGATACCACATATTCAAAAAACAAAATGGCGGTCAGTCGGCCATATTTGACCTGATTATAAAACAAACTGACATGGACATGTATTCTATCATGATGTACGTGCCAACCATGAAATCAAATGGTGCACAAGCCTCAGATATATATGACCAAAAAGCAATCTTCGATTCGATTCGATCCATGGACATGGATCCTAACATGTATAATGCATGTACCAAATTTAAATGAAATGACAAAGCATATTCACGATACAACATTTTCCAAAAATATGATGGCTGCCAGTCAGTAATCATAGATCAAATCACTAAACAATGCATGTCCACGTGTACTATCCACATGCAAAGATGGACGGAGGGTTCCGAAATACGAACGGGGACTAACAATTTTATTTTCCACATTGTAAATTCACGACTAATAACAGTAATACTAATTTTTGACTCCTCGCTATTTCGGTTTTTGAAAGCACCAAATTGTGAGTACTCTTTCTGATTTCTAAACAGTACTCGTCAACACCCTGGGTTTTAAATGCAACGATTTTCAGATCGATGAGCTGTGTGAATGCATGATCAAACTACTGAATGAGCTAAGCAACTAACATATATTTTACTATGATATTCAGGTCGTTGGCCCATTCTCCTTCTATGCAAAAAGAGTTACTTAACACACGTACACTGCCAATGTAAAACACAACCGGCCATGGGGTTGTAAAAATACACCCCAAAACTCGCCGATTTGGCAGTAATACTTGGTTGAAGTAAATCTGAGGCCAATGAAATGATAGCATCATTATAACTCGATAGACGGCCCCCACACACCTGTATCTTGGCCGACGAATCTGGTTTGCATTCACTGTGGATGGTGGGTGATTTCTAACAAACTTAATGCGAATAAGTTCGAAACTGTCTGCCCAAGCATAACATGTCCTAAATGAATGAAACTTGTGGATTCTGATGAACATCTGACATAATGTTCTGCAAATACCTTAAACTATGAATGGTTGAATCATTTGCAATGTTCATTGCCACAATTATTTCTAGTTCTCGTGTTGTGTTGTAGTATTGACGGATGAGACAATTATGAGACCATGGCTTACCTTTGTCAGAGGGTGTTCGTCTTGCCCCGTTCTTAATCAACTTACTTTTAGGTAGCAGTATGGCCGAAATTGGTGGACTGACCGACTTTTCTAGACCTCTTCTGTATAGCATCACCACGTGTGTCGGATTTTCTGCTGCTGATGGATGACGTCTTCGATTGGCTTCCAAGGACTTTTGCAATGTTTCGTTTTGTCGAAAGTCAACTAATGAACGCTTGCTGTGATATTTGGGCTCGGCCACAACCCTGTCTCTTTTCACCGTGACCCTGTCTTCCCTAGAATTTGTATGCGCTAAATTGTTTAGCCAAACCACAAATTTACTTTTGCACGTTACTACTCGTACACTGTACACAATCTAACACTATCTCTTGGAAATAATACGAGTTCCTGAAGGCCACCTCATCCCAACCCGAACCCTAACAATCCATCCCAATGTAATTCAATATGCCCCTCCAAATAACTACAAGTTAAAAGGAGTATATACAATTAAAATGGGGGAAAAGCACTGGAGGGGCATGGTTAGGATTAGAGTTATGAGTTGGGGAGGACTAAGGAACTCTTACCGACACTTGTATCGTTTGATGAGAGCGCATGCGTGGAAAAGCTGCGCACTAAGAGACATAATGAAACTATTTATTACCAATTACGTAAAACACTTGACTCGGGTTTTCTTTAGAAACCTTTAGGAAGAACTCAGTGTTGTGAGTAACGGGTAACCAATTTAATCGTTGCTGATCTAAATGGTTTGGGCTGGCTTTTTATAAAGTTGGATAAGTTGGAGCGCGCCAAAGTTAAACTCACCAAAGAAATGCAGACACGGATCATACATAATATTAATCTTGGATTCTATGCAGTTTTCTTATAAACATATACAGCATTAACGAAATGTGATTTGTTTAATGTCAATTATTCTTTGAACTACAAATGGTAAGATACATACAAATGCTATAATTCTATTTAAAAATCCCCGAATACTCTTGAGTAATATTGGCACAATCTTGACTGATAAAATGTTTTAAATGCACACTGAAAATTAAGATGTGCCTAACTGTGGTGATGTGGTGTTGGAATATAAAAATACGACAAACCTTGTTTGGTTTCGAAATATATGATGTATTAGTTTGGAATACATCACATAGCTGACCTCACAGGAAACCAGGACAGCGACAAACATATTGACACCTATATCTTGCCATGAATTGTTTAAGATTAAGGCAATAAAACAGCCATATATATTCATAGAACATAGATCGAATATTGTCTTTGATATTTCAGTTTAATGCCATTTAAATATAAACGATATAAAGCTACCTGGACAAAATATATGAACCATATTTACTGTATTACAAGCAGAAGCGATTACGTAAATAATGTTTAAAAACAACTAGGTTATCTATGTAATACATGTACAATCACCCAAACACATTTGATAGCATGAACGGAAATGAACATACGTCACTTTTCACTATCCCTAATGAATATTTCTCATGCATATATAATTAATTACGGCTAGTCTCCCTCCATAATACGCTTTCAGGGCGCAGAAAAATCTCTACTGAAAATGCTTTGAACAAAATAGTCCTTGTGTTTCCCATCAATCACTCCGCGGGCATTGTTGTGAGCGAACCAACATCGGATTCGCAGATTATTTTTGGGGTCCTTACGGTAGTTCTCGTAAACTGTAACGTTTCGGTCGCCAACTCTCAAATCTGCCTGTTGGTAGATTGGATCAAAAATATCCGTTCGCATATTCTCAATACTTATTTTCCCGCTATGGAATTGACCTGAATTCAAAATAGACACAGAAAAAACGTTGTTCAAGTAGTACATACTGATACACGTTCTCTCACACACTGGTACACGTTCTCGTACACACTGGTACACGTTCCCGCACACACTGGTAAACGTTCTCGCACACACTGGTACACGTTCTCGCACACACTGGTACACGTTCTCGCACACACTGGTACACATTCTCTCACACATTGGTACACGTTCTCGCACACACTGGTACACGTTCTCGCACACACTGGTAAACGTTCTCGCACACACTGGTACACGTTCTCGCACACACTGGTACACGTTCTCGCACAGACTGGTACACGTTCTCTCACACACTGGTACACGTTCTCTCACACACTGGTACACATTCTCTCACACACTGGTACACGTTCTCGCACACTCTGGTACACGTTCTCTCACACATTGGTACGCGTTCTCGCACACATTGGTACACGTTCTCGCAAACATTGGTACACGTTCTCTCACACATTGGTATACGTCTTCGCACACATTGGTACACGTTTTCGCACACATTGGTACACGTTTTCGCACACATTGGTACACGTTCTCGCACACACTGGTACACGTTCTCGCACACACTGGTAAACGTTCTCGCACACACTGGTACACGTTCTCGCACACACTGGTACACGTTCTCTCACACACTGGTACACATTCTCTCACACACTGGTACACGTTCTCGCACTCTCTAGTACACGTTTTCGCACACATTGGTACGCGTTCTTTCACACATTGGTACACGTTTTCGCGCACATTGGTACACGTTTTGCACACATTGGTACACGAACTCTCACACACTGGTACACGTTCTCTCACACATTGGTACACGTTTTCGCACACACTGGTACACGTTCTCTCACACATTGGTACGCGTTCTTTCACACATTGGTACACGTTTTCGCACACACTAGTACACGTTCTCGCACACACTGGTACACGTTCTCTCACACATTGGTACGCGTTCTCTCACACATTGGTACTCGTTCTCGCACACACTTGTACACGTTCTCGCACACACTGGTACACGTTCTCTCACACATTGGTACACGTTCTCTCACACACTGGTACACGTTCTCTCACACACTGGTACACGTTCTCTCACACACTGATACGCGTTCTCTCACACATTGGTACGCGTTCTCGCACACATTGGTACGCGTTCTGTCACACACTGGTACACGTTCTCTCACACACTGGTACATGTTCTCTCACACACTGGTACATGTTCTCTCACACACTGGTACACGTTCTCGCACACTCTGGTACACGTTCTCGCACACTCTGGTACACGTTCTCTCACACATTGGTACACGTTCTCGCACACATTGGTACACGTTCTCTCACACATTGGTACACGTTCTCTCACACATTGGTACACGTTCTCTCACGCACTGGTACGCGTTCTCTCACACTGGTACGCGTTCTCTCACACATTGGGACACGTTCTCGCACACATTGGTACACGTTCTCGCACACATTGGTACACGTTCTCGCACACACTGGTACACGTTCTCGCACACACTGGTAAACGTTCTCGCACACACTGGTAAACGTTCTCTCACACACTGGTACACGTTCTCGCACACACTGGTACACATTCTCGCACACACTGGTACACGTTCTCTCACATACTGGTACACGTTCTCTCACACACTGGTACACGTTCTCTCACACACTGGTACACGTTCTCTCACACATTGGTACGCGTTCTCGCACACATTGGTACACGTTCTCGCACACATTGGTATGCGTTCTCGCACACATTGGTACACATTCTCGCACACATTGGTACACGTTCTCGCACACATTGGTACACATTAAATTAACTAATTATTGGAGCAAAATGCGTGCTACGAATTTATGATATATATTGTTGATAAAATAATCGTGCAGTTTATATGTCAACTACAATATCGAACAAAACCACTAAGCATGTTTACAGTTGATATAAGCCAAGGAATTATTGATTTTGATCACGAAACAAATGAAAGCATACATTTGGATATCAATGTCCCTTGTTCCGTACACTGACCGGTTATTCCGTATCAAGTTCAAATCAGCATGATATTTTGACTTACCAATGAGTCCGTGGACCATTTCGGAAAACCCGCGCCCATCCTCGATATAGAATCCAAAATAGTCGCCGATCGTAGGCGGATGTTTTCTAACTAAGTGTATCACTAACGTTATTCCTTCACCTTGGGACACGGAAAACGTGCGACTCTTGGAGACACGTAGGGTGATATTGCCCATCACCATTTTCATTGGTTTCCATGGTAACATATGTGTATGATTAATAGAAATGTTCTTCACCGTTACCCTAATGAACAGTGGAGACTTCCCTTTATGTAAGACGACACCCACTTCCCCCAAGTAGGTCCCCCGCCTCGCCCAGTTCGTACTCGTTTTCCCCTCTTCAATTAATCTGGAATTTGCGTACACACCTGTAAAAAGGCAAAGCATTATGAATGTGGACATACCCAGATGGTCATTAAAGTCTTCCAACGTTTCATTTGTTCTTTATTAATTTGTTTTGTAATGTAGAAGTAGAAGGTGTAGAAATATTTAATTTCTTTATACGTGATTAGGGTTGCAATGGTGTAGACAATATCCAATGTTATAGAACTTGAATCTACATTCCAACTATTTTATTGGTTGACCGAGTCTACTCAAGGGGTATTTATCTGCCAAGATAACAATGTGTATATTAAATACCGACATATTAAGGTGATATAAGCTGAAATTATCACATACCAGCAATAGGGTCACTCACTAAGTTTAATACGTCATCTTTATCTCCATTGATATTGAAACATACGGTCTCATCGCTATCTTGAAGTTCTACCACAAAATGGGGGTCTCCGTATGCTGTAAAGTATTATCCAAATATGGCGGTCATTATTTCATTTCAATAAAGCAAAACAAAATGTATAGCATACAATGATACTATCACCAGTGCAATAGACCACGTACTGGTTCATGTGATTATGCCGTACGATTACGTCATCAAGTTATCGGATTTGATACGTACTCGTACAAAGTCTATCACGTGATACGAACACGATTTATACATAGAAAGGCCAGGTAGACGAACTGCCACATTCATATTCAGAAACCAACAATACACCAGTAGACTAAATGAGAAATTTGACAGTGACACTTACCATAACCTCTTTGCCTATTAGAAGTTCTTGAAATTTTTCGAGATTTTTTACTGCCGCCGGGCGAACGGGT